AAGTCATAATCACTTGTTTGAAGTCTTGTAATTCTATACCTAAAAGATACTTCTTGTTTAAAGTACTGTAACTCTGTAGCAATTTCATCCCATAAAATTTTTTTCCGGCCAATGACCGTCAATTAATTAATAACGCGAAACAGACATTAAGATCTGAGTGTTGAAAGCGGGTAACAGAAAGCACACCTATCGCCATTACTTTTTGCCGCTACCTCTTCGTACAAACTCACCCTAACCATCGCATAGCACAACATCATGTTTTAAGTATATACATATGGAATTATCAAAGCTTATACAAAACTTTTGGTAAGGTAATAATAAATACTGTAATAATATGTTATGTTATAAATAAATTGTGTGAAAGTTAGGATTTTCGTGTTGTTTATCATAGCATTCACACCTACAAAGGACGGGTACCTTAGCTTGTATTTAAAATAAAATAATGATTTTGATCAAAATTTATAAACAATTCATGGAACAGTAAACCAGCATATAATATGAAATATATTTTAAAGGCATTACAATAGAATACTTGGTTATAATTCTTAGGACCAATGCCACTCTCTGAGCGAAAAAACTACAAATATCATAATACGATACGATTCTTTCAAAATTACGAAAAGTTGAGATTACACGAACACGGTGCATTTGGGATTTCTACTCAATAGGCCAAAAACGAATGCAATACAAAATAAATATAATTTCCATTTCTATTTACTTGGTCTCCATCACAACGAGTTCTGGCAACTGTCTAACTGTCACGAGGTGTTTTGATCGTTTCGTCCTTCCCCAAAACCGAAATCCTTAGTTTTTATGAGTTTTACAATTTCTACAACCTATCAGACTATGTAAGATCCCATTTCTTTAAACAAAAACTTATGTTTGAAATGTTTAATAAATTTCGTCAATGTACAAATGAAATTATTTATTAACACACGTACATTCTGTAATTATTTTTATTCTGCAATTTATCTTATACCACAAGGGTTTTGTACTATCGTTGGTGGTGTATATCAGATATTACTTTTTATTTTGTACTATCGTTAGTGGTGTATATCAGATATTACTTTTTGTACTGTACTATCGTCAGTGGTGTATTTATCAGATATTAATTTTTGTATTGTACTATCGTCAGTGGTGTATATCTGATATTAATTTTAGTATTGTTCTATCGTTAAAGGTGTATATCAGATACAAATTTCTGTATTTATCTATCGTTAGTTATGTATATCAGATATTAATTTGTGTATTGTACTATCGTTGGTGGTGTATATCAGATACTAATTTCTGTATTTAAAATTGCCACAAGATATTTCATTTTATTTTGTATTACTTCAGTTTGTGGCCCTTGAACTAAAATGTATTGTGGATATTGTACAATAACCGGAACCCGAAAAACTCTCATTTTTGAATGATTACATTGCGTTGTTTTTGTGCTTTTTTTCTTGCTTACTGAATGATTTCAGTCTTTAAGCCTGACATATATAAAATAATTGCCACTTAAACACGTTGAACAGTGCAGTATAATAGAATCATCAGGGTTAAAAACTACACTCAACGTCTACAAGTAAAACTTTCAGAAAATTAATCCAAAATATTAGATTTGTGAAAGCATAAAATATTTGAACATTATCTAAATTAAACTTTTCACAGTAAGTTGCTGAAGAACTAATTTCTCTAACGTACTTAGTAAATGGGTTATTACAAACATGCTTAGATGATCACTTTATGGACACTTTTGTTCGAAAATGCAAGTTGTCATTTCGCTTATTTTAGTGTTGGCCAAAAGTGTAAGTTGTCATTTCTATTGCTATAATGTTGGCAAAACCTTTGAAAACGATTGTCACTATGAGAAATAAAGCATAATAACATTCAAAACCTGGTTGATTATTTGTTATCCAAAATTTTGGTTCGAAATACATCAGCTCCTTTTATGGCCCATATTTTACTTTGGATTCACACTCAATCTCCCCAAGACTTCCATCTATTGTAATTATCTCGTAATATGCAACCAAAAACAGTAATTGTGTATATACAATTGGTATGAATGATAGAGACAAATCTAAACGGCAGAGACAAATTCATACGGAATGACTCAAATTTCGCCATTAATCAATACATTTTTTCAATTGCAAAAGATAATTTGACAAAGCATCACCTTTCACAGATAACGTAACTGCACTGTTCATTGTTCTTGCCCAGCGGTAGTCCACACGGCACCTATATTCTCCTGCATCTTTCTCTTCCACTGGTTCTATTCGCATAATGGCAGGTTGGGTTCGTAGGTCAAATAATGCTCTGTTGCCAAGAATTTCCGAAGAAAAATGTTTGGCAGCCATTAGTTTTCCATTTCTAGCGTCAACACTATAGATCGGTGCGTTAACATCTGCTCTGTACCAGAGAACAAGGGAAACCGCGTCATCCGAACCAGGTCGACTAACATTACACGGTAGTTCTGCATATCTTCCGACTAGAGCAGTAAATTCCGGAAACTCTGAGCAATAAAAAAAAAGTAATTTGAATGTCGTTCAATAATTCAAACAAAAGGCATTTCATAGTTTTAATTTCGAAATCAACTTTTGAATGTTTTGTCCAATACTAATTTAGCGCAGTTTTTAATAAAATATTCGACAAACATCATCATAAAATAATAACACTGTCATAAAACAAATTTAAACCTGCTAGTGCTACGTAAATTTACAATTAATGTTTTAAAAATACTTTTAATCAATCCAGGCTTTTTTCTGAACAACCGGTTTTAATTATAATGAAACCAAAAACATGAAAACAAACAAGAGTGAAAAAAGAACAAATATATATGTGGAAAATCAAACCACTTTAAAACCAACATCAATTTTACACATGGCTTCAGTATGATTCCAATGTAATTGCTGCTGAAGGGTTAGTGGGTCTACTCAGATTTGAAGGACTTAGTATAGCTTAACTCTTTACAAAAACGTGAAGGATCGTCAAAGAATAAAGAGATTTATTTATGCTCCAAGTTTTTGGAGTGATGAACAGTTCTTCTTAAGGAGTTATACAGTCTCAAATAACACAATGAAAGCAAAACAATAATGCATTTTGTCGTTACAACATTTTGTAAAACGCTAACAAACTTAATATTAAGTAAAATGTTAACCATTGATATTTCCAATAAAACATAAAAGTAATTACTTATGCTCTTTCTAACTACTTGTCATGATCTTTCACCTTCACACCGATCAAGATTTTAGTTCCAATCATGTCAAGCAATCTTTATTTACAAGCAGAATTATTTCTTTCTGTGTAACTTCTCACGATTAAACGAAAACCACTGATCACTACAATAACACATCATTTGATATAGCACACAAAATATTAATATTTTATATAGCTGAATTTGATAAAATGCTTAACACTTCGACATTGATATCTCTTATTTTATATTATATTTACTAGGGCCTAAAAATAGTTGTTTGAGCTTTAATGCTAAAACAACTCTTGCTATATAATGTCTTACACGTTTAAACATGAGAAGACACACAAAAACAAAAGGAAATATCTGTGAACATGAGATCAGCGGTGAGACAAGATGATAAACATTCTAAACAGAAGAACGTTTCTCAAATTAGAGTTTACACCCGCTACTACTTTTCTTAGCAGATATTTTTTAACTTGAACTTCTTTAGTTCTTTACACTCTATCAAAATAAAAACGCCTAAAAGAAGTAGAACGTATTTAAGGTAAACATGAAACTGTCTTTACGTTAGAGCTGTCATTCTCTGAAGGATGAACGACGCTCTTAGATCTTATAAATGTATGCAAGAAGTTCTAAACTCTTTTTATACGAATGTTCAAACACTGAATATATGAGCAGTGCTGTACACATTTTGAAAATAAGAACTCCCTTAGAATACGTAATTATTATTTTATATTGTTGTTTTTTATCAATAATATAAAAAAGTTTAAACAGGTACAAAGATCAAAAACTTTAACCAGTGGGAAATAGTTAATTATAATATTAAACGTCAGAAAAAACATACAAGAAAGTGGCGAAACTGCTCGACGTTTCCACAGATACCAGATTTCATTCTCAATGGCTTGTCTGTTACATTAAGTCTCATATTTATAAGCCACTAATAGACTATATTACAACTTTTAGTAATGGCTATTGTACGGAAGGAAGACTTGGTTGTTCCAAATCGCGGTTCATAACCATATATTTAAATTTTTCAATGTTTAATAAATAGTGTTTAATAAATAAAGGTGCAAAGATCTAGACATTTTGACTGAGAAAACTAGTTTTTAAATTACTATGCCTACAAGTTAAAGAAAGAATTGTTTTTTCAGTTACAATATACCTTAAACAAAATGCATTCATTAAACTAGAATGTAATCATTATAAATGTCATTCTTGATATTAGAATATACACACTTTAAGTATAAGAACCCTTTATACCAATATTTGTATTTCAAACAAAACTATGTTTCAAGCAAAGTACAGTACTCGGAACAAGAAATTACGCTTTGGGTACAGTTACAGTACAGTATTTTGGACAAATTATTATGACTTAGTAACGATACAGCACTTGAAATAAGATATTTTGTTTTAGGTAGATTCACTGCTCTTCACACAAAGTTTATATAAGGTCATGAGTCAAAGTACGAAGTGGGAATAACTCCAGAAACAGCTCTTCGTATCAATAGGAACTTTATCTGTATTACTACAATAGAAGTGGACATTATTTTATATTGCATTCCTCCATAGAGAGTGCTAATGCCCACCTTCCACACTGTGTGTATGTTATGTAATAGAAAAATTAATAGAATAAATAGAATTGTTTAAACATTTGTTTAACAACAAGTAAAAGCTTAGAATGGTCTATTCTTTCATTGGGGTGTGTGTCTGTGAGCCAGACTAGTTTCGGAGAATTCCACTTCTCATCAGTGACCCTGGACACTACCACCAATGAAATATTTTTTATCTGTTTATGGGGGCGCCATCAGCAGATGATATGCCCCCAATTTCACTGAAAAAAAACCCACGGGATTCGAACCCGCGGCCCTCAGATTCCGAGTCGATGGCCTAACCACCTGACCATGCCGGGGGGGGCGAATGAAATATCAACAACAACAACAACATAACCGTTATTTCATTCCTATCCCGGGGGGTGGTACGGGCCGATAGAGAGTTACGCCCTCTCGTCAGCCAAGCGACGAAAAAGAAAATGGGTAAAATGAATAATAGATGGGTAAGCGTGCAAGTCAGCACAGGTGGCAG